AGACAGAGAGGATGCCAAGAAGAGCACTCCGGACAACAGAGAATGAGAAGCAGCATTAAAATGCAAAACAAACCATCAATCAAAATCTTTTCCATTTCCTCCAGAAAGTGTTAAAACTCTTCTCTTTCCTTAACAGATGGAGGGAGACAAAGGAGAGAATAACAGCAACAGAGTTTTCAGGTAGAAAAAATAGATTATGTGGAACTCAAGAAAATATTGCATGAAAAAGTACAAAGGCATTAATGAAAGCGTTTGAGGAAGGAGAGCGTCTTGGATCAAAGCACCACCAGTCTGCCTATTTTGGGAAAAACACGGATTGCAGATCACACCTGATTTTTGCATGAGTCCATCCACCCCTTGAAAACCCATGCAAATGTTTGGACTGTGGCAAAAGCTTTACTCAGAATAGCACTCCCATTATTCATGGAATGACCGATGCAGGAGGAGCAGCTCTACCAGTGCTCCCAGGGTGGGAAAAGATTTAGCATGCATACCAATCTGGTGAGACACAAGAGGACTCACACTGGGGAGAAACTGTTTGAATGTCCTGTTTGTGGGAAAAGCTTCAGTCAGAATTCCAGCCTGGTAAAGCACCAGAGGACTCACACAGGAGATAAACAATATGAATGTCTGTATTGTGGGAAAAAGTTCAGTCATAATTACAAGCTGGTGAGACACCAGAGGACTCACACGGGAGAGAAACCATATGAGTGTCTGTACTGTGGGAAAAGTTTCAGTCATACTTCCAACCTGGTGATACACCAGAGAACTCACACGGGAGAGAAACCATATGAGTGTCTGGATTGTGGGAAAAGTTTCACTGGGAATTCAAAACTGGAGAGACACCAGAGAACTCACACAGGAGAGAAACCGTATGAGTGTCTGCATTGTGGAAAAAGATTCAGTCAGAATTCCAACCTGGTAATACATGAGAGAACTCATACAGGAGAAAAACCATTCAAGTGTCTGGATTGTGGGAAAAGTTTCAGTCAGAATTCCTACCTGGTGGGACACCAGAGGATACACACAGGAGAAAACCCATATGAATGTCCTGATTGTGGGAAAAATTTCATTCAAAATTCTAACCTGGTTAAACATCAAAGGACTCACACAGGAGAGAAACCATATAAGTGTCCAGATTGTGAGAAAAGTTTCATTCGGAATGCCAACCTGATTAGACATCAGAGGACTCACACAGGAGAGAAACCATATGAGTGTCCAGATTGTGGGAAAAGTTTCCGTGAGAGTTACTACCTGGTGATACACCAGAGGATTCACACGGGAGAGAAGCCGTATGAGTGCCCAGAGTGTGGAAAAGGTTTCACTTGTTATTCCTACCTGTTTAGACATCAGAGGACTCACACAGGGGAGAAACCATATGAGTGCCCAGATTGTGGAAAGGATTTCTCTCGGAAATGTGACATGGTGAAACATCAGTCTACTCACATAGAAGAGAAATCATATAAATGTTGTGATTGTGGGAAATGTTTCAGTCAGAATTCCTACCTGTTGATACACCAGAGGATTCACACGGAAGAGAAAACATATAAGTGTGTAGATTGTGGGAAAAATTTCAGATGGAATGCTCAGCTGGTGATACACCAGAGGACTCACACAGGAGAGAAGCCGTATGAATGTCCAGATTGTGGGAAAGATCTCAGTAGTAGGACCAGCCTTATAAATCATGTAAGGTTACACACAGGAGAGAAACCATTCAAATGCCCAGATTGTGGAAAATGTTTCACATATTATACTACCTTTTTCAGACACAAGAAATTACACAGGCAAAACGTGATGTGTGTAGAGGAATGTTGAATTTCATTTCTCTTCTCTAATTGGAAGCCCAGCTGAGAAACTGACCATTTAATTTCTTGCCATATTCTTTTTAGTCAGATGTGTTTTAGTATCAAACATGAGGGAGAAGATCTGAGCCTCCTTTCTCTGGCCCAGTGTGGTCCTTCCCTTCCACAGAGTCAAGGGGAACTGCTGTGCTGGGACAGTGAAAGCGAGCTTGCATCTGTATCAAGTGTGTTTGCCGCCTTGAGCTATTTCTACACATAAATATATTATTTGTTAAGAAAATGTATATGCCAACCCAACTCATGGTGAGTGGGCAGCTTGCAGTAATAAAACCTTAATACAGATAATGGCCTGCCATACTTCAGGGGAAAGAGTGTCTCATAGGGCAGGGTCTGCAGCGGAAAAGGCTCACTTCCTAGCTCCTGTCAAGATGGCAATTTTTAAGGGAAGGGGCTAGGTGCATTGCGACCCTATCTGACCTGGTAGAACAGATAGATGCAGAAATAATAAAGTGGAACATTAATAACAGGTGTCCTGTTGGCTCAGTGGTGAGAATGCAGTATTGCTGGCTGACTCTGCCCACAGCCTGGAATTCGATCCTGAGGGAGCTCGAAGTTAACTCAGCCCTCCATCCTTCTGAGATCGGTAAAATGAATAGCCAGATTGTTGGGGAGAATATGCTGACACTGTAAGCCGAGAGTGCTATAAAGCACAGTGGGGTGGTGTATTAATTAATTAATGGTGTATTAGCTTTAAATGTGTGCATCTTCAATTACACCTGTAAAGAAACAACGCCTGTGGCAGCTCAAACCACAAAGATGTGATACGGGCAACCTAGAGGTCCTCATTACTTTGTGCGTTGGGGCTTTCTGGACCAGTTATAATTTCCGGGGGGGTCCAGGGCAGTGATCCAAACTGGAGGTGACCAAGGCATGATTGAGCTCTGTGCAAGGCCTCCATGGTCCAGGAAAGGACACAGTTGGCGCACCGGATAAATCTCTGCAAAGCCCCTCCCCCACCTATGATCTTCTCAAGCAGGAGCCATGAGTCCAGGAGGATCTCCAAGGAGATCACATGACCCCAGGACACTGAAACTCACAAATATGAGTCAATTGCCAAGTGTCATAATTTGGTCACATGACAAGGGGGATGCTGCAATGGTTGTGTGAAAAATGGTCATATGTCACTTTTTTAGCACTGTTGTAACTTCAAATAGTCACTAAATGAAATGTTATAAGTCCAGAGCTACCTGTACATAATGGGGTATCATAGGATGGATGGCCTTCCCTACTGGTTTCATGTAGATATTAGAAAGCAGCAGTGTAAGGTTTTTCTCCTGGGGCCTCCCGAATTGCGACAAGCCGGACTCCACACCGAATGGGAAAAAGCTTATTGTTTTCACAGAACTATGAGAAGACATGCTAGCCTGTGAAGCAAATAAATTGTATATATTTTAATCTCATGAGCCTAGCTTGAAGCTTGAGAATTGTATCTAGGAAGGTCTCTGCTACGCTGAAAACCGGTCCTAACTAGAATTTACTGATATGATAGCAACTTTAGAGAAAACCTCTAGGAACTAACAGCCGTAAAAGGTAATTCGTAAATAAGGGCCAGGGGCCATAGAATTAGGGGAATGGGAGAAGTAATTGGGGGCGGAGATAATATATTCACTTTAGAAGCTCTAGGTAGGTAGTGATGACATAATTACAGCATGATTACTAAGCCAATGAAGAAGAGGCGGGAGGTAAATTTGTAATGGCAATGGGGGAATATAAAGAACAAATATTGAAGATTTGGGTTGTGTCCACTTTGTGCTTGCATGCACAAGGAGCACCCCCCTTGCAAAAGAGTACAAATAAATTACCATTGTTTTCTCTTGGAACTTTTGGCTTCTGATTGTTTATTTCAACTAGACAACGAATCCTACACCAGCCATGGAGGCAAAAGTCTGTTCAAAAGAATATCATGGTCGATGATACAGTACTGAAACCTGATGAGAGGTCTAGGAGGGACATAATGGTTGTACCCAGTCTATCCTGAGGCCTCCAAAAGTCCATAAGAATTGCAACCAATGCCGTTTTGGTGATGTTTCCCGACCTGAACCCAGACTGAGAAGGGCCCAGGTGTCTTTCTCCTACAGAGCCCTTTCTACGGGTGGCAAAGTCAGAGCTGCAGGCAGAGGGCGAGTTGAAGTTCCAGGCTGCCAGCCTTTCATTCCCCTCTTCAGCTGCACTGAGAAAAGATCTCAATCTGCAGCAATGCCTTAAACTCCTCTGCCAGGAAAACCTCTCGTGATTTTCTTATGCACAGCAAACTGCTGTTGAAGGTATGAAGCTGGCCAGGATGCCAACTGTCCACAAGGGGGGAAATGACTCTTCCAGCCCTCTCCTGAGCTTGGAAAAGAAATATAGGTAGTTCTCAGGTTGTGACAGCAATTCGAGCCCAAATTTCCATTGCTTAGCAGGGATGGGGCACCAGTAGGAAATATGGTGCTTGTTAGCTAAAGATGGAAGGAAAATAAAATCACAGATGAGACAAGGGGTCATGCTTCAATTTTACAGCTTCGCTAAGTTGCAGAGGCAGGTTTCGAGGAGTTACCCTGCACCCCCCAACCCCCAAGATGAAAAACTGGCTGGAAGAATCTTCACCAGCCCTCAAGGGAGGTGCACTTTCTCCTTGGCTGTGGTACATAATTCCCCCCCCCCGCTTTGATTTAGTTGCAGGAAGAGGGACGATGACTGCCCTCTTGGGAGACCTGAAAGAAAAGGCTTAGGGTAGATTGTCCTGGACAAAGGCTATCGATGTGCTCGGTGGGAGTCGAACACGACTTGATGGCCCCTAAAGAACCAGGGAATCCTTGAAAACGCCTTGCAAACGCTTGAGGGAAGAGATAGGACGAGCGTGGTTTTCAACCTTACGTCGCTAGATGGCGCTCTAGAGAGAAGCAACTCTCGTACCTAGAAAGCAGAGAATACAGTTCTGTACACAGCAGCCGCATCGCTGGTGCCAACGTCATACGGGAGGGAGAGAGGCTGAGCCGGAACAAATTGGAACGATAGAGGATTGGACTGCTAGAGAGGACTTTGGAGAAAGGGCAGAGGAACTTCCTTTTCCGGCTCACTTATGGGAGGAGGATGGCGTCGGTGCATGCTCTTCCTCTGTCTCGATGGTGGAAGCGGCTCCCGGGAGGTGAGTGGAGGGCAGGTCGGAGGAGAAGCCGGGAGCAAGACGGGCTGTTTCTTTTCCTCCGCGGTGTGGAAGCAGCGAAGGGACGAGGCTGAAATATTTCGGCTGCTGCTGCTGCTGCTGCATATTCTTTCCCTCCCCAAATGTTCTTATCCTTACGCTGCATGATTTAAAACTGCTGCCTGTGATTTTCTGCTGGGAAATGGAAAAAACGGGACATTTAAGAAATCTTTATTTCATATTTTTTAACAGCCTTCCTCTCTCGGTCTTCATTCCTTGTGATATTATTGACATGTTTTCCTGGCAAGTGAGGACTTTCGGGGGTAAAACGGGTGCTTTAAATTTTGCATAGGCTTTGGGCACCGTTTCATCTGTTACTGTCCCCAGCTTTCTAACATTAGATCAAACAAATTGAGTGAACCCACTTCTGAAACATTTTGCAGACTCAAGCACACATAGATTTTCTACATACATAAATTTATAGGAGTGTATTTATGTGTGCGTATATGTGTATCCAGTGATGGGATTCAGCCAGTTTGCACCAGTTCGGCAGAAGCGATAGCTAAATTTTGTTGAGTTTGGACAACCGGCTGAATCTGTTTTAGGCTTGGAAGAGGCTTCCCAGGCCTGCATCCACGCAGAGAACTAGTTGTTCAGGGATTTGAATCCCACCACTGCATGTATCTATGTAAACCTAAGTATTTTCAGGTAATCTTAATAACAACAGTTTGCATTTGCAATGATAATAATTTGTGATTTACCCAAGCCAATAAGAGAATTTCATGATTTGAAATATGAGTGGATATTTGAACTTGGATTTTGTTAGTCTTCTATGTAACTAATGAATCATAAGGAATATTAAACTAGCATTATGATGTTTGCTTTTTCATAGTAATATATGGATTTTTTTTTATGTTTTCACAGGTTCTGTAGCCGTTTTTTAAACAATAATGAAACTAAACCAGTAATATGAATCTTATAGACAAAGAGGATGCCAAGAAGAGCACTCTGGACAACAGAGAATGAGAAGCAGCATTAAAATGCAAAACAAACCATCAGTCAAAATCTTTTCCATTTCTTCCAGAAAGTGTTAAAACTTGTTCTCTTTCCTCAGCGGATGGAGGGAGACAAGGGAGAGAATAATAGGAACAGAGTTTTCAGGTGGAAAAAATAGATTATGTGGAACACAAGAAAATATTGCACAAAAAGGTAAAAAATATTATTACCAAATTTAGAAAAAGAGGGAAATAGCTAGACATCAGTGGGAAAGAAAAGATCCTTGGATAGCCAAAGCCATTAATGAAAGCCTTTCAGGAAGGAAAGAGTGTCTTGAATCAAAGCACCATCAGATAAGGGATTAGAAATATTTTTGGCCTTGTGAATCCAAGAATATCAGTGCTGAAAAAACCTCACAGTCTGCCTATTGTGGGAAAAAACAGATTGCAGATCACATGGAAAAAGCATCACTAAGAGCGGCAGTCCATTGATTCATGGAAGGACCGATGCAGGAGGAGCAGCTCTACCAGTGCTCCCAATGTGGGAAAAAATTTAGCATGCACACCAATCTGGTGAGACACAAGAGGACTCACACTGAAGAAAAAACATATAAATGTCTCGATTGTGGGAAAAGTTTCAGTCGGAATTCCTACCTGGTGAGACACCAGAGGACTCACTCAGGAGAGAAACCGTATGAGTGTTTGTATTGTGGGAAAAGTTTCATTCGGAATTCCAACCTGGTGATACATGAGAGGATTCACACTGGAGAGAAACCATATGAGTGTCCGGATTGTGGGAAATGTTTCAATCACAAATCCCACCTGGTGAAACACCTGACGACGCACATGGGAAAGAAACCATATGAGTGTTCAGATTGCGGGAAAGGTTTCAGTTGCAATTCTGACCTGGTAGTACATCAGAGGATTCACACAGGAGAAAAACCGTATGAGTGTCCGGATTGTGGGAGAAGTTTCTCACGGAATTTCAACCTCGTGGAACACCAGAGGATTCACACAGGAGAGAAACCATATAAGTGTCCAGATTGTGGGAAATGTTTCAAGCGTAATTACAAGCTAGTGATACACCAGAGGATTCACACAGGAGAGAAACCATATGAGTGTCAGGATTGTGGGAAAAGTTTTAGGCAGAATTCCAAGCTAGTGGTACACCAGAGGACTCACACAGGAGAGAAACCATATGAGTGTCTGGATTGTGGGAAACGTTTCCGTGAGAATTACTACCTGATGATACACCAGAGGAATCACACGGGAGAGAAACCATATAAGTGTCTAGACTGTGGGAAAAGTTTCAATTGGAATTCTGAACTTGTGGTACATCAGAGGTTTCACAGTGGAGAGAAACCATATAAGTGTCCTGATTGCGGGAAAGGTTTCCCTCGAAATTCCGAGTTGGTGATACACAAGAGGACACACACAGGAGAAAAACCATATGAGTGTCTTGAGTGTGGGAAAAGTTTCCATCGAAATTCCGACTTGGTGATACACCAGAGGACTCACACAGGAGAGAAGCCGTATGAATGTCCGGATTGTGGGAAAGATTTCAGTACTAGGTCTAGCCTTATAAATCACGTAAGGTTACATATAGGGGAGTAACCATTGAAATGCCCAGATTGCGGACAATGTTTCGCAGAAAATTCCTCCCTTATCACGGAAGAAATTCCACATGAGGAAAAATTTGATCGGTGTTAGGAACCTTGAATTTTTGTTTCTTGTGTCTTACTGGAAGCCCAGCTGAGAAGTTAATAATTTTATTTCTTGCATGATTCTTTTTAGCCAACTGTGTCCTATTAAACATGAGGGAAGAGATCTGAGCTTCCTCTGTCTGGCCTAGTGCATTCGTTCCCTTTCATGGATTCAAGCTGAACTGTTGTGCTGAGCCAGAGAAAGCGAGCTTAGATCTGTATTAGGTATGTTTATCACCTTGAGTTATTTCTACATATAATAAGCGCGGGGTATGTATCTTTATTAAGAAAATTAGAGTCACAGTAATTTTGTACTAGTGTGTAGTAATAATGAGTAGTTTTGATTAGAATTGGATGATTATGCATTTATTTCCTAGATTAGCTTTGGGAAGTCCTGGGGGGGGGAGGGGGGAACGGGTTAGGTTGGTATTATAGATTTATATGTATATATATGTATGTTTTTTTTAAGGAGGTGCCCGGTGATACCCCAACTGCACTGACGGGATGGTTGAGGGAGAAAGGGAGGTAGGAAAGAGGGAGGAAGGAGGAGTGGTGGTAGGATAGGGAGGAGGAAGGTGTAGGCAAGTGAGAGGGTGGTGCAGGAGGGGGACACCAGACACGTCCGTGAATGTATTGATTGGTGTTGATTTTTTTTGGGTTGATATTGTGATAAAAGATTTATGTTTTTGTTTTTCAATGAAAAATCAATAAAAATTTATTTAAAAAAAAGAAAAGAAAAAAAAGAAAATGGATATGGCACCCCAACTCATGGTGACTCCACACGATTTACAGCAATAAAACCTTAATGCAGAAACCAATAAAATCAATATATTGCAAATGGCAAAATGCAAAGACCCCACATATAACGTTTACTTGCCCTATAAACGCAGGGCACTTCAAGCAAGATTGATGGCATTTTGATGTTCTGGGAGTCCAGTCTCTTTCTTCGTTCTTCTCTTTTTTTTTTCTCCAATCTGATCTGAGCTTCCTTTCTCAGGCCCAGTGCGGTATTTCCCTTTTATGGAGTCGAGGGGAACTGCTTTGCTGGGTGAGAGAATGCGAGGGTGGGTCTGTATTAAGTATATTTGTCACCTTGAGTTATTTATATATATATATATCGTAAAGGGGGATATAAACATGTATGTGTGTATTTTTACTTAGTAAGAAAATGTATATGGCAGGGCAACTCATATGACTCCACACAGTTTGCAGCAATAAAACCGTAATACAGAAAGCAATGAACCCCATATATATAGCAAATGGCAAAATGCAAAGCCTCCAAATTTAACATGTACTCGCCCTGCAAATACAGGGAACTTTTAGCAAGGTTGATGGCAGTTTGATGGTCTGGGAATCCCAAAAAGGTGATTCTTGCTTTTGTTCAGTTTAGAACAGTGGTTCTCAACCTTTTTAATGCCGCGACCCCAACCGGTCATAAGTCGAGGACTAAACCGGTCGTAAGTCGAGGACTACCCAACCGGTCGTAAGTCGAGGACTTTCCCTGCCCGGGAGCGCCGCGCATGCGTGGTTCCGCCCCCTGCGCCGGTCGAGGCGTAGCTGGCAAGCGGCAGAGACGGAGCAGGCCGACCACCAGCTGGCCCAGCCCAAGGGAGGTAAGGCACCCGCCGGCAAAGGGGAAAAAAATGGCGGACAAAAAAAATGGCGAACAGCCTTGCTTGGCGACCCCCATGAAATGGTTGATCGACCCCAAATGGGGTCCCGACCCACAGGTTGAGAACCACTGGTTTAGAAGTAGAAGGCCTCCTTCATACCTGGTGCCATTCTTGCTCAAAACTGGTAATCTTTCACCTTTGAAGGAGTTAACCGCAGGATTAGAGGCATATAAATTTTGATAATTAAAGAAATGCCTAGACCCTCAGTTGCCTCAAGCAACTTGCAAATGGGCAGCCTCAGCGGGGACATTTTTTGCATTCAACTCTTTTTTCTCTGTGATTTATTTAAAATATTTACGTAGCCATCCGTGTAATAGCAAATTCTGGCCAGCTTTTAATCAATAATTAACAAACATGTTAAAACCATTTTTGCTTCTATGCCCATGATTGTTTGAGGAACTCTTTTTTTTTTTAACTTGTTCTCCTGTTAATAGAAAGGACGGGGGGGGGGGGGGCAGAGCTGCTTACAAAATTTGTCAGTTTCGTAATCCAAGAGGCTTGTAGTTGTAATTTTATCTGCTCTAATAAACCTAACTGTGGAAGTCTTATCAGTCTCCATTTCATTGGTTTTGTACCAGTAGTTATATGCTTTGATTTTAGAGTGGGTAAACTGAGTAAATTCCCAGTTCAGCTCTAATTATTTGTTCGTGGTTTGTTTAAGAGGGTGAGAGACAGGTACCTTGGTTCATATATTGAATGACCCATTGAGAATCCCATATTAAAGCAACATACTTTATGCGCCGCCAGAATTTGAAAACCACGTTTAATATGGCACAGTACTTGATCAAAATGGTTCAGCTGAGATCGGCATATGGGGGACTGATTGGGGTAGATTTTAGGGGTGACACTGAAATATAATTCTATCTTATTTCACTTATCTATATATCACAGTGGTGGCGAACCTATGGCACGGGTGCCAAAGGCGGCACTCGGAGCCCTCTCTGTGGGCACACGTCCCGTTGCCCCAGCCTCGCCTCCCCCCGCGACCCCCTCCTCTCCAGCAGCCCCCCTGAAGGAGAGTCGCCCCTGAGCGTGACCCATGCGGAGCAGCGCAGCCAAAGACATGGCAGCCAGGCAGTGTAGACAAGACTCTGCCCTCACATCCCATTGTGCACAGCTGATGCTGCAGGGCGCGGGCAGAGGGCGTGACTACCATAGTGCTGCTGGGCTGCCTGAGCGATCTGCGGCGGGTCCTGGAGGCAGTGAGTGGCCCTGCGGGCAGGCAGGACAGGGGGATCGGGGTGAAGCAGGGGCGGGGCAGGGGGTGGAGTGGGGGCGGGGCCAGTTTTTGGGCACTCGGTCTCTAAAAGGTTCGCCATCACTGATATATCAAATCGTTGTATTTTACTCCAGTTTCATTTTAATTTGTTTTTATAGCATTTTATTAATAAGTGATGTTTGGAACTCTATATTCTGATATCGCCTATGGGCTGATCGATAAACTAAACTAACTATTAAAACCAAATGCATATAAAAAAAAAACCTGGTGCCAAGTCAAGCTTCTGATGTGCAGACGGCCTCTTCTTATCCCAGTGCTTAGGGGAAAAGCTAGATCTTCCATGCTTTACATAAGACTAGGAGGATAAAGGCCTTCAGGGGGAAGACTGTTTCATAGGGCAGGGCCTGCAGCAGAAAAGGTTTACTTCCTAGATCCTACCAGATGGCAATATTTAAGGGAAGGGACTAGGACAGGGGTAGGCAACCTTGGCTCTTTTATGACTCGTGGACTTCAACTCCCAGAATTCCTGAGCCAGCCATACTGAGGGGGAAGGGAGAGGTTTCCAAGCTGAGCCATGCTGGCTCAGGAATTCTGGGAGTTGAAGTCCACGAGTCATAAGAGAGCCAAGGTTGCCTACCCCTGGACTAGGAGCTTGCCCACTACATCTGACCTGGTAGAACAGATAGATGCAAAAATAATAAAAGTGGGGCAATAACGACAGGTGCCCTGATGGCTTAGTGCAGCGGTTCTCAACCTATGGGTTGCGACCCCATTTGGGGTCGATTGACCATTTCACGGGGGTCGCCAAGCAAGGCTGTCCGCCATTTTTTCCCCCTTTTCCGGCAGGTGCCTTACCTCCCTTGCGCTGGGCCAGCTGGTGGTCGGCCTGCTCCGTCTCTGCCGCTTGTCAGCTACGCCTCAGCCGGCGCAGGGGGCGGAACCACACATGCGCGGCGCTCCCGGACAGGGAAAGTCCTCGACTTACGACCGGTTGGGTAGTCCTCGACTTACGACCGGTTTAGTCCTCGACTTACGACCGGTTTAGTCCTCGACTTATGACCGGTTGGGGGGTTGCGGCATTAAAAAGGTTGAGAACCACTGGCTCAGTGGTTAGAATGCAGTGTTGCCGGCTGATTCTGCCCACAGCCTGGAATTCCATCCTGACAGGGCTCAAGGTTGACACCCTCGAGTTACCACCTTGTTTCCTCTTGAGTTTTCTCTTTATTTTTTTCTTATTTACTGATCCACATCAAATTGAACACCAAAGGCTGTAGATCCACCTGCTGCTGTTTGGACTGTTCGAGGTATGACAGGCGCCTTAGGCCTACGGCTGCTGTTTGATAGAACCAAATGCCTGGATAGAAGTTTCAAACTTTTGGTTTACTTTTTCTTTTCTTTTGTGTATTAAAGAGGACTTTTTCTCTGAAGTGTCCTACTTGGGAGAACCGATGGAGTGACACCTGAAACCACCAGCAGCCCTGTTATTGAATTTGCATCTGACATCATTGCTTTAGTAGAGACACTTTACGCTATTCATTGATTCTCTTTTTCATTGTCTTATATCAAACAAACAACATAGGAATCGTCATTTTTTTTTCATGTGTTATATATTTGGACTCTTGAGTTTTTATTTGGGGGGCCTTTCAGTAGTTTTAGACTAACCTTATTATAGCCAAAGTTAGAATCTTGGGACTTTTAGGTAATTTGGGGTTTGTTAATTGCAATTGGGATTCTAGTTTTCTACTGTTTCAGGAGAGAAATACTTTGTGTGTTTGGAGAGAATAAACTGAAAGAGACATCGGTTCCTGATGTGAGTTCATTGTACTTGCAAATATATTATTGCTTCTTGTTGCTATCATTGCATTGACTGAGGCCCTTACCATAGTTCTTGTAATATTCCTCGCTTAGAAAATTGTAAAGATGAGAATATTACCGTTACTATGTGGCCTACTTTTCAACGCAATTCTGTGAGTTCCAGTGGATTTCAGAACACGATATAAATGCAGCTCAGAAATTAAAGGTAAAGTAGTAATTTCTCAAGGCTTTAATCAGCAATTAGTTAATCATTTAAGAAAACAGTGGCCCCCCTCAGTATATATTAACATATCCTGCTACTAGATTGTGTTCATGGGATGAAGTGATTATTGCCGCCAGTAATAAATTAAAACAGCAGGCTAAGATGCATTCGGATGAAGGGTGAAGATGGCAATAAATTAAAAAATGCTTTGTAAGCCACTCTGTTCCTTCTACTGTATCTGCTACCACGGTTATAAAGAATAATGAATCCTTTTATGATGTAGATATGGAAGTTATGGATACCAAACCAACCAATGTTTGGCTAGCTTTGAAATATCTTTATGCTAGGAAATCAGGATACCCCAGTTGTTGGATATGGTCTCATTTGAATGAGAAAACAATGAAGATTCCAATGGTAGTGGTTCCTATTAATATCTCACAGATTTTCATGAATACTTCAAGTATCCATTATGGAAATTTTATTGTGTGTGTGAGAGAGAGAGAATTAGGAAAAATATGAATACAAGAAGCTTATATGTCCCTGATTGGAGCATCAGAGGAAATTTAACCACTGGAGATATCTGGCATGGAAATACTGTAGTCCAGAGATCCCCAACCTTTTGGGCACCAGAGACCAGTTCTGTGGAGAGAGGTTTTTCCGTGGACCAGAGGGTGCATGGTTTTGTGTGCTGCCTGCATCTTGTGGATGGGGCTTTGCTTGTTTCTGTGGCCCGGTTGCTGGCATGCCGCAGCCCGGTACTGGTCCACAGACCGGGGGTTGGGGACCCCTGATGTAGTCAATGTCACCATGACTCTGGACACCTTTAATAAGATTAATGTTCAAAGCATCACGAGACGTTTGTTTCAAATTTCTCTAGTGAGATTTAGATCCCGCAAGAATGCAGATGGAAAAATAATGTCTCCTATCCGGATGCGTTTGGAAGCAATGTGGGTGCGCACTTCAAGGTTTTGTCCCGTATTTCATTCCTGGTACTCCTTGACTTACAACCACAACTGAGCCCAAAATTTCTCTTATAAATGTGAAAAGTGGTCATAAGTTACAGTGCTGTTGTAACTTCGAACAGTCACTAAACAAACTGTTGTAAATTGAGGATTGCCTGTAATTCTATTAATGGGATGAAGCTGGCAATTATTTAAGGCTGCACATACAAACAAGACCTTTGTCAACTTTTACGATGGAGCATCTGGCTAATCTTGGGAAGCTAAGTAGGGTCAGGCTTCACTCTTAGAGCTTCCCTCAGTTGCAAAGGTAATTTTGGGACGTTATCCTGCACCCCCAAGACAAAGAACTGGCTGGAAGACTCTCCAGTGATCCCCAAGGGAGGTGCGCTTTCTTGTTGCCTTGATGGCACATTGTGTTCCCCCCAGAGATGCTTTCCCTTGGTTTAGTTCCTGCAAGTGAAGCTCCTGGCTCAGTTGCAGTGACGATAAAGGCGTCCCTGTGAGACCCCAAAGGACAGTCAAAGGCTAGATCGGGGTAGGCAACCTTGGCTCTTTTATGACTCGTGGACTTCAACTCCCAGAATTCCTGAACCAGCATGGCAGGCTCAGGAATTCTGGGAGTTGAAGTCCACGAGTCATAAAAGAGCCAAGGTTGCCTACCCCTGGCTAGATGGCCCTGGAGAAAAGTTATGGATGTGAGTTATGGATGTGGCGGCTAAGAGAGGAAAACGGCTCTTCATTAAAACATCTTAGAAACGCCAGAGACAGAAAGAGCGTAATTTCAGCCTCACGTCACTAGGTGGAGCTCTAACACAACAAGAGCGCCTGGAAAACCGCCAATCTAACGGCGGCTTCGGCGGTGGCGGAGTTGCGACATGTGTGTGGAGGGGGAAGCAGCTGAGGTGAAACCAGTTAAAACAGTCGAGTATTGCTAGAAAGGATGTCGAGGAGAGGAGAACGGCAGAGGAGCGTCCTCTTCCGGGTCATCCATGGGAGGATGGAGGCGTTGGGGTACCCAGTCGTGCTCCTCCCAGGTTCGAAGCAGCAGCTGGAAGGTGAGTGGAGGGCTGGTCGGAGGAGAAGCCGGAAGCGAGTAGGGCTGTCTGATTTCCTCCGGGGTGTAAAACCAGAGATGGAACTAGGCTGAAACATGTCGGCTGCTGCTGCTTCTGCATGTTCCTTCTCTCCCCAAATGTTTTTGCACTTATGCTGCCTGATTTAAAACTTCTGCCTGTAATTTTCTGCTGGGAGATGGGAGAGGCTAAAATTTAAAAGGACTGGAAATGGGTATGGCCAGTCTAGAGAAAAGAAAGACTAGGGGGGACATGATAAGCAGTATTGCAGTATTTGAGGGGCTGCACAAAGAAGAGGGGGTCAGCTCGTTTTCCAAAGTGCCAGAAGGCGAGATAAGAAACAATGGGTGGAAACTAATGGAGGGGAGAAGGAACGTAGAACTAAAGAGAAACTTCCTGGCAGTGAGAAAAATCAACCAGTTTAACAGCTTGCCTTAAGAATTTGTGGGTGCTTCCACTCCTCTGAAATGGTTTAGGGCAGTGTTTCTCAACCTTGACAATTTTAAGGCATGTGGACTTCAACTCCCAGAATTCCACAGCCAGCTGTGGCTGTGAAATTCTGGGAGTTGAAGTCCATATGCCTTAAAATTGTCAAGGTTGAGAAACACTGGTTTAGGGTCTCCTGTTTGAGCAGGGGGTTGGGCTAGAACAGGGGTAGGCAACCTCGGCTCTTTTATGACTCGTGGACTTCAACTCCCAGAATTCCTGAGCCAGTATGGCTCAGCTTGGGAACCTCTCCCCCCTCAGTATGGCTGGCTCAGGAATTCTGGGAGTTGAAGTCCACGAGTCATAAAAGAGCCGAGGTTGCCTACCCCTGGGCTAGAAGATCTACAAGGTCCTTTCCAGCTCTATTCTAATTGATATACAGACGCATATTTACACAGAAACCCATAAATTGTTAGGTGTCTATTTCTGTGGGCATATGTGTGCGTATATGTATGATCTAGCCAAGCCAAAAAGAGAATTTTATAATCGAATCAATATTTGAACTTGGATTTTGCTAGTCTTCTATCTGCCAAATGAATCATAAATAATGTTAGAAGTTAAGCTAGAATTTTGATGTTTTCATGCTAATATATAGGTTGGTTGTTTTTTTAGCTGCTTTCACATGTCCTGCACCCATTTGTTAAACGCTAATGAAACTAACCCATTAATATGAATCTTACAGATAAAAAGGATGCCAAGAAGAACACTCTGGACAACAGAGAATGAGAAGTAACATTAAAATGCAAAACAAACCAGCACCAAGTTTAAAAACTCTTCTCCTTTCTCATCAGGTGAAAGTCAAGGGAGAGAATAACAAGAACAAAGTTTTGAGCTGGGAAAAATAGAGTATTACATGAGAAGTCAAGGGGGATAATATCCAGGTTTTTAAAAAAATGGAAATAACTGAAAGTCGTTGGGAAGGAAAAGGTCCTTTGAATGGCCAAAATGGGCAGGCATTAATTAAAGCCTTTCAGGGAGGTAAAAGTGACTTGACTCAAAGAACCTCCAAGTAAGAGATCAGAAACATTTTTGGCCTCCTCAAGAATCCAAGAATATCAGTATTGAAAGAACCCCACAGACTGCCTAATGTGGGAAAATCACATGAACGAGAGGTTCCGCCCAGTGAAAAGCGATACAAATGTTTGGAGTGCGGCAAAAACTTTACTCAGAATAGCTACCTTGTGGTTCATGGAATGACCCATACGGAGAGAAGCTCTACCAGTGGTACCAATGTGACAGATTTAGCATGCACACTAATATGGTAAGACACAAGAGGACTCATGCAGGAGAGAAACCATATGAGTGCCCAGATTGTGGGAAACGTTTCAGTTGGAATTCCCTCCTGGTACAACATCAAAGGATTCACACAGGAGAGAAACCATATGAGTGTCCTGATTGTGGGAAAGATTTCTCTTGGAAATCTGTCCTTGTGAAACATCAGAGGACTCACACAGGAGAGAAACCCTATAAATGTCGTCATTGTGGCGAAAGTTTTAGTCAGAATTCCTACCTGGTGAAACACCAGAGGACTCACACGGGAGAGAAACCCTATGAGTGTCCAGATTGTGGGAAAGATTTTACTTGGAATTCTGACCTCGTTAAACATCAGAGGACTCACACAGGAGAGAAACCATATAAGTGTCCAGATTGTGGGAAAAGTTTCAGTCAGAGTTACTACCTGGTGATACACCAGAGGACTCACACGGGAGAGAAACCATATGAGTGCCAAGATTGTGGGAAAGGTTTCAGTTGCAAATCCGACCTGGTGAAACATCAGAAGACTCACACAGTAGAGAAACCATATAAATGTTGTGATTGTGGGAAAAATTTCACTCAGAATTCTCAGCTGGTGACACACCAGAGAATTCACATGGGAGTGAAACCATATGAGTGTCTGCATTGTGGAAAAAGTTTCAGTCAGAATTCCAGGCTGGTAATACACGCGAGAACTCACACAAGAGAAAAACCATATCAGTGTCCAGATTGTGGAAAAAGTTTCAGTCAGAATTCCTACCTGGTGAAACACCAGAGGACTCCTCCCACAGAAGAAAACTCATATGAGTGTCTGGAGTGTGGTAAAAGCTTTACTCAAAAAAGCTTCCTTGTGATTCATGGAAGGACCCATACTGGAGAGAAGCTCTACCAGTGCTCCCAATGTGGCAAAAGATTTAGCATGCACACCAATCTTGTGAGATACAAGAGGACTCACACTGGGGTGAAAGTCTTTCAATGTCCTGATTGTGGGAAAAGTTTCGCACGGAATTCTGACCTGGTGATACACCAGAGGACTCACACAGGAGAGAAACCATATGAGTGTCTGTATTGTGGGAAAAGTTTCAGTCAGAATTCCAATCTGGTGAGACACCGGAGGACTCACACAGGAGAAAAACCATATGAGTGTTCGGATTGTGGGAAAAGTTTCCAGGATAATTCCAATCTGGTGAAACATCGGAGGACTCACACAGGAGAAAAACCGCATGAGTGTCCAGATTGTGGGAAAGATTTCAGTAGTAGATCTAGCCTTATAAATCATGTAAGGTTACACATAGGGGAATAACCATTCCAGTACCCAAATTGCAGACAAAAATTGTTTTGCACAAAATTCCTCCCTTATCACAGACAAGAAATTCCACTTGAGACAAAATTTGATCTGTGTAGAGGAATTGTGAATTTTGTTTCTTGCCTCTTGCTGGAAATCCAGCTGAGCAATTTACTATTTAATTTCTTGCCTGATTATTTTAGTGAAGTTAGTATAGCATAGCATAGCATAGCATAGTTAGTATAGTTAGTATAGTATAGTTGATAGTATAGTATAGTATAGTATAGTTAGAATAGTATAGTATAGTTATAGTTGATAGTATAGTATTAGTATAGTATAGTAATTAGTATAATATAGTATAGTATAATACATGGATGTGTATTAGGTATGTTTGCTGCCTTGATATTTATACATATAATAAAGGGGATATAAATATGTATGTATTGATGTATTTTGATGTGTGTAGAGGAATCTTGATTTTTGTTTCTCTTCTCTCATTGGAAGCCCAGCTGAAGAATTAACCATTTAATTTCTTGCCTTATTCTTTTTCGTCAAACGTGTCTTAGTATCAGCCATGAGGGAGGAGATCTCAGCTTCCTTTCTCTGGACCAGTGAAGTTGTTTCCTTTCACAGAGTCGAGGTGAATTGCCGTGCTGGGCCAGAGAAAGCGAGCTTGCATCTATATTAGGACTGATTGCCACCTTGAGTTTTTTCTACATATAATAAAGGCGGGATATAAATATGTATGTATGTATTTTTATTTATTAAGAAACTCAAGGTAACTTCAGAGGGCTTACAGTAATAAACACTGTAAACTGAGAGTGCTATAAAGCATTTTGGAGTGGTATATAATTCTAATTGCTATTGCTATAATAAAGAAATAGTTTTAAAGCATCTTCAGTTGCACCTTAAAGAAATGAATCCAGTGCAGCTCACACCGCAAGGATGTTACATGGGCAACCTAGGGGCCCCCATTATTGTGTCAGCTGCTGCGTTCTGCACCAGTTGACGTTTCTGGGTGGCCTAAATAGAGGATGATCAGGGTATGAGTGACCCCTGTGCAAGGCCTCCCGGTCCAGGAAAGGGCACAATTGACACAATAGATGAGTTCTTCCCCCCCCCCCACCGTCACAATCTCCTCAAGCAGTTGCCATGGGTCCAGGAGGACCTACAGATTCTGGACCAGCTCAGTCGCCAAAGGAGATCACACGATTCTAGGACACCGAAACTGTCACAAATACGAGTCAATTGCCAAGAATCTGAATTTTGTTCATGTGGACTGTAAGGGTGCTGCAACGGTTGTAATTGTGAAAAAGGGTCACAAGTCACAGTTTTCAGTGCAGTTGTAATTTCAAATGGGTGATAATGAAATGCTATCAGTCTCAGACTACCTGTATATACTTGGGTATCATAGTATGGAGGGCCGTCCCCTAGCGGTTCCATGTGGATCTTAAAAAGGAGCAGCCAAAGGCTTGAGCCCCGGGGCACGCCAAATTGCAACTGAAGGAAATAAAAGTTATTCTTTTATAAAATATAACAATAAAGTTCTAATGTAACGATTGAAGGGGAAAAAGTTATTCTTTTGTAAATTGTAGAAATATAATTGTAGAAATGTAATGCCAATATACGAGACTGTCTATTTAACACAAATGTAACACTGTAACGCAAATGTAGCAATGCACTGCCACATGTGTGAGAAGGTTTGTTTACTATTTCCTGCCTAAAAATCCTCCGGACGCAGGAACTTACACTTTGAGTAGAAATCCTACTATCAAAGAGGGGGATTTTGACCCTAGGTGAAAATTACAAATAAACGAGATAACAGCAGATGGGTGGAAGAGGTCAAGATGACTTTTAAGTACAACTTCAAAGTACATCTATAAAGATGAAAGAGCTTCTTAGATGTGACATGCATTGTAAAGGTATAAAATGCAGAGCTTGAAACCAGGCCAGTGCTCTCTTGGAAAACATTCGAGTGGGAAGATTCCAGGAGGCCGCGTTTGCAAACGCTCTTGTTCTTTTCTTTTCTTTTCTTTCATTATTTTTATGTTATTCTCCAATAAAACTTTTGTTTTGTTAAACAGACTTGTCTTCGTATTGTGAGTATCAACTTTCGACTGAAAGTAGAAATAAAACCACGGTAATAAAGTGCCTCCCATTTTCAGTCCCCAAAGCCGGTCCAGAAGGATATCATGGTCGATGGTATTGAAAGCTGATGAGAGGTCTAGGACAGTGGTTCTCAACCTTTTTAATGCCGCGACCCCCAACCGGTCGTAAGTCGAGGACTAAACCGGTTGTAAGTCGAGGACTACCCAACCGGTTGTAAGTCGAGGACTACCCAACCGGTCGTAAGTCGAGGACTTTCCCTGCCCGGGAGCGCCGCACATGCGTGGTTCCGCCCTCTGCGCCGGCCGAGGCGTAGCTGGCAAGCGGCAGAGACGGAGCAGGCCGACCACCAGCTTGCCTAGCCCAAGGGAGGTAAGGCACCCGCCGGAAAAGGGGAAAAAAATGGCGGACAAAAAAAATGGTGGACAGCCTTGCTTGGCGACCCCCGTGAAATGGTCGATCGACCCCAAATGGGGTCGTGACCTATAGGTTGAGAACCGCTGGTCTAGGAGGAACAAAATGGTTGTGCCCTGTCTATCCCCAGGCCTCCAAAAGTCCATGAGAATTGCAACCAATGCCATTTTAGTGATGTGCCCTGGCCTGAACTCAGAATGAGAAGGGCCCAGGTATCTTTCTCCTGCACAGCCCTTTCTCCAAAAATCAGAGTGGCAAAAATCAGAGCTGCCAATCAGAGAGGGTGAGTTAAAGTTCCAGGCTGCCAACCTTTCATTCAGCTGCACTTAGAAAAGGTTCTAATCTGCAGCAAGGAAAACCTCTCATGATTTTCTTATGCACGGCAAACTGCTGTTGAAGGTACGAAGCCGGTCCGGATGCCAACTGACCAGGAGGAGGGAAAATGACTCTTCCAGCCCTCTCCTGCGTTTGGAAAAGAAATAATGGGTGGTTCTTGGGTTGCAACAGAAGTTGGTGCCAGAATTTCCATCGCTTAGCAGGGAGGGGGCACCAACAGGAAATACCGTGCTTGTTAGCTAAACATGGGAGTAAAAGAAAATAAAATCCCAGAAGAGGGTCAAGCTTCACTTTTACACTTTTGAAGGATATGGACTTATTGTTAATGTATTTTTTTTTCTTTTTTTTTTGGACTTATATTATTATTATAAATATGATAATTATGTTTTAATAGATTGAACTTGCTTGATTTAATTAGGAATGAATGGGAATTTTTTGATATTATAATTGATAAGTAATTGAATGATAATTATGTTGTAATAGAGAGGAAGAGTTTTCATTTAATTAGGAATGGATGGGAATTTTTTTGATACTATAATTTGATAAGTAATTGAAGTTGTAAACTTTATTAAGGGCTTAAAATGATTTTTTATAGGTGTAGTTTGACGAAATGATAGAACTTATTTCTTAATTTTATGGAAGATGGGAATTTTTTCTCTTTTCTTTTTTTTTTTTGAATAAGTAAGGGATGGGGTTAATGTATCTGGCTGAAATGGTAAAGATTTTGGTGTATCTGAAGAATTAATTAAATGAATAATTTTTATTAATACGGAGGAGATGGATTGTTTATAAGAAGTATAGAGTTTGTGGAGTTAGAGATATTAATATTTGTTTACTTATATCTGCATATTAGCCTGGGATTTGGTTTGGGAAGTCCGGGGGGTGGGATATAATATTGTGTAATAATATTGTGTAATACTTGTGATGTTTTTTTTATATGATGAAAACAATAAAAATTTTATATTGGAAAAAAAAAAAAAAAAGCTTCACTTTTACAGCTTTGCTAAGTTGCAAGGCAAGTTTCCCTTGGTTTCGTTCTTGCAAAAGAAGCTCCTGGCTCAGTTGCAGTGAAGATGAGGGCGTCCCTGCGAGGCCCCAAAGGGCAGACGAGGGCTAGATCGTCCTTGTTGAAAAGTTATGGGTTTGGTTGTGAAAAGTTATGGGTTTGGTTGTGAAAAGTTACGGGTTTGGTCGCAAAGAGTTGAAAACGACCCTTCGTTTAAAAAAAATCTTAGAAACTCCAGATCAGTGTTTCTCAACCTTGACAATTTTGAGGCATGTGGACTTCAACTCCCAGAATTCCACAGCCAGCAATGCTGGCTGTGGAATTCTGGGAGTTGAAGTCCACATTCCTTAAAATTGTCAAGGTTGAGAAACACTGCTCCAGATAGAGACAGAAAGAGCGTATTTTCAGCCTCCCGTCACTAGGCGGAGCTCTAACACAACAACAGCGCCTGGAAAACCGCCAATCTAACAGCGGCATAGCTGGCGGCTGGGTTGCGACATCCAACGGAAGGGGGGAGGGAGACGGGAAGGGTCTGAGATGAAAAGAGTTAAAACCAGCGAGTATTGCTAGAAAGGAGGTCGAGCAGAGGAGAAGGGAAGAGGAGGTTTTCTCTTCCGGCACACCATTGGAAGGATGGAGGCGCGCGGTGTGGCTCTCGTGCTTTTCCCAGGGTCGAAGCAGCAGCTGGACGGTGAGTGGAGGGCAGGTCGGAGGAGAAGCCGGGAGCAAGTCGGGCTGCCTGCTTTCCTCCGGGGTGTAAAAGCAGAGAAGCAACTAGGTCAGGGGTAGGCAACCTGGGCTCTTTTATGGCTCGTGGACTTCAACTCCCAGAATTCCTGAGCCAGCCATGCTGAGGGGAAAGGGAGAGGTTTCCAAGCTGAGCCATGCTGGCTCAGGAATTCTGGGAGTTGAAGTCCACGAGTCATAAAAGAGCCAAGGTTGCCTACCCCTGGACTAGATGAAACAACATGTCGGCTGCTGTTGCATATTCTTTCTCTTCCCAAATCTTTTTTTTCACTTATGCTGCTTGATTTAAAACTTCTGCTCGTAATATTCTGCTGGGAGGGACTAAAATTTGAAGGGCTAGAGACTAAACCATATAAAGAACGGTTGCAGGAATTGGGTATGGCCAGTCTAGAAAAAAGGAGTGACATGATAGCAGTATTCCAGTATTTGGGGGGCTGCCACAAAAAGGAGGGGATCAATTTATTTTTCAAAGCACCAGAAGGCAACACAAGAAACAATGGATAGAAAGTAATCAGTGAGAGACGCAACCTGGAATTAAGGAGACACTTCATAATAGTGAAAACAATTAACAAGTGGGATACTTTCCTTTAGAACAGTGTTTCTCAACCTTGACAATTTTAAGGCATGTGGACTTCAACTCCCAGAAATGGCTGTGGAATTCTGGGAGTTGAAGTCCACATGCCTTAAAATTGTCAAGGTTGAGAAACACTGCTTTAGAAGTTATAGGTGCTTCATCACTTAAGGTTTTTAAGAAAAGTTTCGATAGCCAGCAATATGAAATGGTATAGAGCAGTGATGGCGAACCTTTTAGAGACCGAGTGCCCAAACTGCAACCCAAAACCCACTTATGCATCGTCGAGTGCCGGGTGGGTGTGGCCCATTGGCTGGGCGTGGCCAGTTGGGTGGGTGTGGCCAGTTGGGTGGGCATGGCTGCGGTGGTAACGGCAGACTGGGTGGGACTAAAAAGTTCAATCAATTCCAACTTTGCAAGATCTTTTTTTTTCCCACGAGAAGTTGAAATTGACTGATTGAATCTTTTTTTTTTTGCACACAGCGGCAGAGGCCTAAAGCGAAAAGGTTTTATAAAACCCAGCTGAAGGCCTAGGACTGGGGCGACGGCGCGCATGCCCACAGAGAGGGCTCTGAGTGCCACCTTTGGCACCCATGCCATAGGTTCACCACCACTGGTATAGAGTTAAAACCAGCGAGTATTGCTAGAAAGGATGTCAAGGAGAGGAGAAGAGCAGAGCAGAGGAACTTCCATCTCCTTCAGTTTTCATGTAACTCTTGATTCCTTGAGATTTTATTGAGACGTTCTTTTCCTGGCAAGTAAGGAGTTTCATGGGTAAAACGGATGATTTAATTCTGTTCCAGGATTTGGCCACCATTTTGTCTGTTAGTGTCTGCACATTTCTAAACTCGGGTCAAAATATTTAAGTGAATGCACTTCTAAGACGTTCTGTACACTGAAATGGAGATATTGTCTACATTAATAAATACTTTTTATGTAGGTATGTGTACAGTATATGTGTGATTTATCGAAGCAAAAAAGAGAATTTTAGGATTGAGTTGATATTTGAACTTGGATCTGTTAGTCTTCAATATGTCAAATGAATCATAACGTTAGAAGTTAAACTAGAATTTTCCTGTTTGTTCTTTCATGGTAATATATGGGGGGGTATTGCTGCTTTTACATGTCCTGCACCATTTTTTTTAAACAATAATGAAACTAACCTATTAATATGAATCTTACAGACAAAGAGGATGCCAAGAAGAGCACTCTGGACAATAGAGAATGAGAAGCAGCATTAAAATGCAAAACAAACCAATCAAAATCTTTTCCACTCACTCTGGAAAGTGTAAAAGCTCTGCTCCTTCCTCAGCTAATAGAGAGAGATAAGCAAGAGAATAAGAACAAAAGTTTGAGTTGGAAAAAATAAAGCATGTGGAACTCAAGCAAGCATTACATGGGAAGTCAAGGGGGATAATATCCAAATAAAGAAAAAGTGGAAATAACTGGAAGTTAGTGGGAAGGAAAAGGTCAGTTGGATAGCCAAAATGGGGAGGAATTAATAAAATCCTTTGATGAAGAGTGGCTTGAGGTAAGAGATCAGAAATATTTTTGGCCTCCTCAAGAATCCAAGAATATCAGTATTGGAGAAACTCCACAGAGGGCTTATTGTGGGAAAAATATAGATTGCAGACCACAGCTGATTATGCACAAGAGGATCCACCCAGTGAAAATCCATAAAAATATTTGGAGTGCGGCAAAAGCTTTACTCAAAAAAGCTTCCTCATGATTCATGGAAAGACCCATACCGGAGAGAAGCTCTACCAGTGCTCCCAATGTGGCAAAAGTTTTAGCATACACACCAATCTGGTGAGACACAAGAGGATTCACACTGGGGAGAAACTCTTTAAATGTCCCGATTGTTGGAAAAGTTTCACTTGGAAATCTGACCTGGTGGTACACAAGAGGACACACACGGGAGAGAAACCATATGAGTGTCCAGACTGTGGGAAAAGTTTCAGTCAGATTTCCAATCTGTTGACACACCAGAGGACTCACACGGGAGAAAAACCATATGAGTGTCCTGATTGTGGGAAAGATTACTGTCGGAAATGTG